GTTGAATCTATGGAGGCTTTGGTAGTGATTTGGTGAATTTGTAGAAGGAATGGTGAAGCTGTTACGGCTGAAGCTATCCGTCCATTGCAGCTAGAAGAAATGAGATGCGGTTCTGGTTTCCTTTGCGTACAAAAGACGCTTGACGTCTAATATTTTAAATACGTCAAATCAATTACAACTAGTGCCCTACGCGCACGTTTCATGTTCGATTTCTCTTACGTTTGTTACACTAGTGCACTAAACCTCTAGGGCACTTACATTCATATAAATATTATTCATTCTTAATTGTCCCAAAATAATGGTCCAAACGTGAAAACACGTATTCCCAATTTAGGCGCAATAAAATGAAACTTTCGAGAAATTCTTATAACGATCGTACCACCAACTATCACTTGAGTACTTAAATCTAAATTTACCTATTTTAGAACCATTGTACATGTCTCCAAATTTCCGAGCTTATTGTACTCCTAATTGGCTAAAGTTTTCAGACACGTTTTCACTTTTTCACTAAACAAGCTTCTAAGAAAATAATTTTTGAAACGAGACACTTTAAAAATATAACGAAACTATAAAACCATATATTTAGGTCTAATAAGGATAGAAAATAATATTCGGGGCAAAAATCCAAATAGATAATTAATTGAGCCAAAATTAGGGGTTTAAAAATAATAATTTTACGAGTACTCACGTGAATTGAGTATTAATTCCTCAATTAACCTTTCTTAATCTATTATTGATCGTTCTTAATTCTCCAATATTAATACACTCTCGATTCAAATATAGTCTCGAAAAACGTGCACTCGTTGTTCCGAACTAAACGAGTTTTCGAAAAGTGAATTTTTTCAACAAAACGCTTTTAAAAATATAAAAGAGGCGTCGTTCCATATAAATGGATTTTAAATGATCGAAATAAATAATTTGGAGAAAAATGAGTAAATAAATATTTAAACAAACTACTAATATTCGATAAAATAAAAAATAAAAAATTTCGGGTCCTCACATCCTCCCCTCCTTAAAAGAATTTCGTCCTCGAAATTCACACTTTGGATAATAGTCATACCCCTTAAGAGTCATGCCTTTCAAATTAATCACTAACTTACACCCTCCGATCCATATATCACTATTTCTATTTACCCAATTAGTAGTCAAACTTTGATTCTATCTTATGAATCTAGGGTTTTGCAAAAAGTGTGTACGGTACTAGGTCACTGAGAACCTTAGATAGACAAATAAAAGAAAGAATCATACCTCCAATGACTTTAGTAGAATCGGAAACATGTTGATAGCCTAATGCATAAACCCTAGCTGGTGCATTAGATCGACTTCCTCCAACACTAGGCTGCTTAGCGGCTGACTTTTCAGGCCTTTGGGTACTACCGCCTTCTTTTGGTACGGTCGGGCATTTCGATATCTGGTGCTCGGTACTACCACAATACAAGCACTTCCCTTGTTTCCTAAAACAATCATTCTCCGTATGGTTGAGCTTGCCACAATAACCACAAACGACTTGGGGAGCCACAGATTGACCACTTGGAGGTGTCCCTCTCGATTGACCTCGTCCATTGCGATCTCCTCTTGATTGAGTCCCTTTTGGCATGTTAGATATCTCCACTCCACCCGTTCCTTTTCCCTTTTTAAAAGGTGGGGCACTCTTATCTGCCTGTCCCGAAGGGTTACTAGAAGTGCCCCTCTTCTTAGCATGAAAGTCTCTAACTTGCAGCCTTGCACTCTCGACTCTCTGTGCTTTTTCTAAGACTTCAGTGAACGTAGAGATTTGGGCTGCAGCCAAACCCTCCTGGATTTCTACATTAAGTCCCTGCACGAACCGTCTAATCCTCCTCCGTTCATTGATCACCAATTCAGGAGCGTACTTAGAAAGCTTAGTGAACTTTCCCTCGTACTCCGCTACACTAAGGGTTCCTTGTTTCAACTTGATGAATTCATCCTCCCTTTTCTCTTGGATTAAGGGCGGAAGAAATTTCTCATTAAATTCCCTTGTGAAATTCTCCCAAGTCCAAGGGGTTTGAGTTCTCTCCCATTTTCCTCTTATCAGATCCCACCAAGCACGGGCTACTCCCTCAAATTGGAAAGCAGCGAAGTTCACTCGCCTATCTTCAGTGTAGTCTAAAGCAGCGAATATGTTGGTCATCCTTTCTAACCAATTCTCCGCTACCTCAGGATCAGGTTCGCCAAGAAATTTAGGCGGGTTAAATTTTAAGAACCTCTCTAAGGCTCTATCCTCACCTCTTTCCTGACCCCCAGGTTGGTTAAACGGTCCTGGACCCTGTCTTTCAGCTAAGCGTTCTAGGATATCAGTCATCCTATTGATGGCAGTAGCCATTTGGTTAACCTCTATATTCTCTTGTCCTTGGGTCGGTCCAGTTGCCGATCCCTGATCGTTTCCCTGAGGTTGGGCCGGTCCCGTCCCTCGCCCACGGCCTCGACCCCTTCTTAGCCCTTCCATAACCTAGGCGTGCCTAGTGCAAGAAATAAATAAATAAATTATGCAATGCAAAGTAGAAAGCAGGAACCAATCAAGAAAACATCGGAAATAACAATAATTTACATTTATTAACATATCAAGTTCATACAATTAGCAAGTCATGGGGTAGTCACAAAAATATAGCACACAGATGCCACAAGAGTACTTTTAATCACATACGACTAAAGTAAAGTCAAGTGCCTCAAAAGTAGGCCACACAGGCATACAAAAAAATGCAATGGCCTCAACACTAGCATCACCCCAGCTAAATCTATCCCAATTAATTGGTATAATCTTCCAAGTAATTCTCAATTGAACCTTAAATGAACGTTAAATTAAACGTTTAATTTAATAACCCACATAACACATTTCGATAACCTATTGATACATATAGTTAATAATGGAGCTATAAGGCTATATTAATTGAGAAATTATATTTGAGCTACCCATTTTATATGCAGGTATAGATTTAAATTCGTAGAGTATGATCTATTGGAGAGATCTTGCTCGGCATTACTCGTGCAGTATTGCCATGATATACTCGAGTATTATCAAAAACTTTGATGAGCGGGCCCGGTAAGGGGTTGTAACGGTGACGGGATTCGAAGAAAAGTGGTGTATCTACGGATTTGATACTTATGTGGTTGACGGAGTGTCAACGTGAGATTTGATCAAGACTTCGACTCGACTACGTGGAATTTAGCTCCTGAGAGCTACAGTATCCTTGAATTATTTCTGTTTATTTTTCCTATTCGAAATGTGAATTATTCGAATTTGATAGCCTTACCTACAATGTAATTGTTGTTGCTACTTGGATTATGTGTTTGCATGTGTGTTTTCTTGGCACAGATAGGAACGACGTCATATGTAAGGGGGTGTAACGGTATAAAGTTATACCGTTAATACTTGAAATACTATATGTTAAAAATACTTATGGAGGAACAAGATGTTTAATACTATATGTTAACATATATAATCTAAGTATACCATTAGTATAAAACTCCATAAGTATACTTAGATTATAATATACATAAGCTATACATAAATTAATACCATTAATCTAAGTATAGATTTATAAGTTTATTTATAAATTAATACCATATATTAATTGTATAATCTATATTATAGTATACCATATAATCTTAATGGTATACATAATGGAGATAATGGTATACTTAAGTATAATTTATACTTAATATGTATATTATATAATCTAATATACATCAATTCCAGTTACCTGTGGCAATCAATAAAGGAAATTACATTATCCCAAATAACACATTACAGCCCACAGAATAAGTCATAGTGTTCGAATACAATCCAAAAGGATTGTAAATTAATACGACATATATAACATATAGATTATAATCTTGATACAGCATTAAATCTAAGTATTAATTTCCAGAAATACTTATGGAGTTTTATCAATAGACAAACTCGTATTTCTAACATATACTAATATTAGCCGTCGTTTGTGGTTAACTAAGCCAATCTGAGTTTAATATAGCTATATGTTAATAGCTATCAAATGTCAACTCGTTAATTTCTTGAATTCCACTAATTAATCCTAATTAGTGAATAACGTTAAATACTAATAAGAAATTTCACGTTAAGACCAAAACCAATAACTTTTATGTACAAAATAAAAAGAATTGTGCTAAACTATTAAATTTCTAATTTTGTTTCATTAAATTCATATTTCGAAGGTAAATTATTTCATTTATTTAACAATTAAACGTCTTTGAATTCCGATAGCTAATCTTAAGCGTTAACAATGATTAAGTTAATAAATGTTGATATAAATGGATAAACGAATATCAAGAACGTCAAATTTTCATATTAAGGTCAAACTTGATTTTAATAGTTTAAAATAATTAGGTAATAATGTTAAATGTTAATAGGAACTCTCGCGTTAAGATGAAAACCAATGAATTTTCGATAAATATGATTCTAATATATTAAACATGCTTAAGGCGTGAAAATTCGATAAATATATCCTTATCTTTCTTTGTTTTCAAATAAGTGCGTAAAAATAATTTTTATGTGCAAATTGACACCCTTGGATTAAATTATTATTCCACTTGACTTTATATTATTAAATCGATAAATTTCGAGTTAGACTAACTCTATTCCTTGAGAAATAATAATTGGAAATACTAATAACTAATTTAATCGCTAAATAATATAAGAATTACTAGGAACCTTAATGTTCAAGTTTAATCGATAATTATTCGATAAAAATGGTTTAGGTATATTAGCGTATAATTAGGCGTTCAAATCACGCTTGGGGATAATTTTTTTAGAATTAAGTTAGAATTGAGAAATTAAGTTGAGGTTAGGAAGCAAAGTGAAAAGACTAAAATGCCCTTACATTTCCATGCAAACCAAACAAACCCTCTGACAGCAAATTCAATCACCGCAACTACCGGCCAATCACATTTTTGCTAAATCGATACGCAATCGATTCCTACACGCAATCTCTGATCCAAAACAGCGGCACCTTATACCATACTTTCCATTTCATATCACAAAACCGCGATACCATCCCACTCCATCTTCATTCCTATATCACAAAACACCTTCACACTCCACCCTCTTGCACACCCAACCCCCTTAACCGCGCCTATTTCTTCACTTCAACCTCGCACAACCAGTTCCATTTCCTCACACCATGAGCATTGACCAAGAGTGAGAGAGGGAGAGCTTCACCTCGTGATCATCGACGAGAGAGAGAGAGAGAGCTGCACCTTGCAGCCGAGAGGAAAGAAAGAAAAATCGCGAGCTGAATCTTCTCTGGTCTGTCCGTGAGTTTGAGGGAAGAAAGGAGAGAGCAAGTGGAAGTCGTGGGAGCTGCTGATCGTCACCACCTTCATCAGTCCCAGCCGCAACTATTGCAACCAGAACCAGCACTTCAGGCCTTGCGCGCGTGCCGAGAGGAAGAAAAAAATTCAGCTCTGCCGTGTGGGTGAGTTGCACTGTGAGGTAATTTCTGGACCATTTTAGGTTGATCAAGAGGTAGATTGAGCCATCTAGGGGCATGCATGTATTGTTTGTGCAATCGGATGATGAAATCAAAGCATTAGAAAAATCTGTTTTGGAAGTAAATGGTTTTGCCGAAAAGCTGAAGTGGAGATGCAGCTTTAATTCTGTTTCCCTGATCCAATCTGAATGTATATATGTGTTTCCCTAACTTAAGACAAGATGATTAAACTGTGAATGCAGCTCATTTGCTCGGTTAAGCAAGAAATAAAGATGAACAAGAAAATCTGTTGCATGCAAGATCATCCGAGAATAGTCGTAGGAATTTCTGGAATTGTGGATGTTTATAGCTGCTGACCGAACTTGCTCTGAACTAGATATGATAAGTAACTTTATTGGGTAGCCTCGCATGTCAATTTTGGGTGCCTAATATAATGATCCAGCCAGGGAAAAGTTTACATCTTATGACCATTAGCTGCTGGCATTTTTTTTTGTGATAGCCGAGAGCTTGACTTGAATAATGCAGCCTTAATTGGTTTAATCCTGTTGTTCTGAGCTTATAACCGTGATTAGCTGGGTAATAACAAGATAAGTAAGCTTTTCATGTAGTTAATTAATTGGGTTAAAACAGAAAAATTAATTGAAACAGAAATCCGCTGCATGCTTGATCATCCGAGGATAGCTGGAAAATTTCTGGAATTTTGGAGATAATTATAACTGTGATTTGAACTCGATTTCTGAACTGGAAATGTTTATTTTCTAGCTAAGTAATTGCATGAGGAAGTTGAGAGTTTAAAAGCATGTTTTAACCAAGAAAATAAAATGAAAACAGAAAGTTTCTTCATGCATGTTCAACCGTGACTAGTTGGACAGATTTCTGGATTTTTCTGGATGATTTTAGTTGCTGAATGAATCTGGTTTTGAAGTGAATTTTTTAATAGCTAGCTAAGTGTTTACATGCTGAATTTGAGTACCTAACACCATGTTTAAACCAAGGGAAAATTTGATCTAAAAAGTATTTGGTTGCTGGAAAATTTTGGAAGCCACAAGGGTTGAACCAGAAATTTTAGTTTGTTTTTGGAAGTTTAATTGGTTTCTGGAACGTTATTTTATTTTTCCCTTGGGATATAATGGTTTAGAAATACAGAGGAGTTGTAAGTTTTAAGTTGTGCAAGTTGTTTAGTAATGAAATATTTGATAAATTGGAAGATGGAACCAAAAATGTTAGTGTATACATGCCGGAATTTCTTTTGTGGTAGCCGAAGGGTGAGTTGGAATCTTAGCTTGGTTTTTAAACATTTCTTTGAATCATGATGGATGGAAATGCCTGGAATATGTTGTTTTGGAGTTTTATAAGAAATGTATGGATGGTTGAATAAAAACATTTTGGTGTTAAAAGAGAAAAAGGAGTTTTTCACAAGTGGAAAATGAAATTTCAGATTTTCGGATGTCCTTGACCAGTCTCAGTAAAATGCATGTATCTTGGTGTAGGAAAATCCGTTTAAGGCGCCGTCAGTGGCATTTGAAACTAGATTCATGGGCCTTTGTTCTGTAGAAATTTCATATTTTTCCTCCATATGTACTGCTGTCCGTGACTCCTCAAAGTAGACTGTCCTGCTTGAATGTCCTGTTTCTTTATGAAACTGAATTTTTGACTTGGATCGAACATTTAGCTTATTTGTGGTTTGAATTCTTGATTGAATTGTGGTTGGAAGTGATTGATGTTGTCAAGGGCTAATGATTGATGAAGCCCTTGGTCATTTGAATGGTTTTATAAATATTAAAGAGTGATGAACTTTGATTGCTGGAATTTCTTGAAGGCCTTACCTTCATTTTTGATTTAGTTAAGATGTGATATAAGCTTGCCGAAACCAAGTGCTAATGATTGATGAAGCCTTGGTCATTCATTTTATTTTTATCAGAAATGCATTTGTTGAAATCTAGGGCTAATGATTGACGAAGCCCTAGTAATTTGCTATGTGATTTTTGCCATATTTTGATCCATACTATGATTTCGAAACGGGATCGGAGCTGTGGAAATTGTATCGACCTTGCGAACTCGAGTAACTGTGATCAAATTAATCAAAAATATTTTCCAGCTAGTATTAGATTATAAAACTCAATATCTAGTGTTTCGCCTAAAACTTTCCAAACCAATAATTTCCTTTAGCTCAAACTAGCCTTGATAGCTATAGTAATTAAATTCTATAGCTTTTGAAAACCCTAAGTTTTATATATATGTTCCTATCAATCATTAGCTAATATTAAACTTAGGGTAACAGTAGCTAAGTATATCTGGAACATAGGACAATACACTCGCGCACTCGTGATTATATATTTAACATATATATACACAGAGTTATAATCATATAACTCTAATTTAAAGTATACTAATGGTATACTTAGATTGATATGATTATATTAATGGTATACTTAGATTATATTAAGTGTATCATTAAGATTATATGGTATACTTAAGTATAGCTTATGTATACCATTAATCTATATGGTATTAATTTAATACAAATTAGATTGTAAATTAGATTATAAATTAATGATATGATTATATTAATGGTATACTATATAGATTATATTATAATATACATCAATACGTATTCTAATATGGTATATTATAGATAATGGTATATTAAGTATAAATACTTAAATCTAATGACATAATTTATAATCTAAATTAATACCATAAATTATAATATAGATTATATTAAGTGTATAATCCATTAGTATATAGCTTATGTATATACTTAAGTATATCAAACATAAAGTTATTTAATGATAAATACTACTGTATCAATTACATATACTAATGGTATTGTGTAATACTTGAAATACTATATGTTAGCTTATATGTGATTTCTAATATTAGTATATGTAATTGAAGTAACCGAATAGCAATACTTGTTCCTCACATCATATGTAAGGGGTATATTACCCCACGTATCCAAAAACTCAAGAATTATCAGAGCTATATTAATACAATGTAGGACTAATAACTCCAACAGATTTCCTTTATTGAAGGCATTATCTACCTAATATTAGCTAGTCTAGGGCCAGAGGTTACCTCGGTTTGAGGCTTAGCTCACACGACAATGAGCTGCAGAAATTTTCCTCTCAGCTTGCTATCGCTCTTGGGGTTTGGTTGTTGCAGCACCGCAGCTCACTAGCTCTCCCTCTCTTGCTCACACGCGAACTGGAGGTGGTGGTCCTGGTTGGATGTTGCAGTTGCGGTGGAGTTGCTGGAAACGGGTGCAGCTGGTTGAGGTGAAGAAAATGGTCACAGCTGGTGGAGGTGAAGGTGCAGAAAAGGATTGAACTCACGCGGTGTCTCTTTCTTTCTTCCCTCAAGCTCGCAGACAGAACCGAAAATGTGGCAGCTCGCAGTTTTCTTTCCTTGCTCTCATATGCAGAATGCCGCTCTCTCTCCTTCCCCTCGGTCGATGATTACAAGGTGAGGAATGTTGTTGTGGTTTGGGGCTGAGGTAAAAATGGAGAGGAAATGGTTTTCGGTGAGTTTGTGCAGAGAAGGAAATGAGGTTTGGTGAAGGGTGGTGTCTCGGTATCAAGAAAGGAAGTGGTTTGCGGTTTGCTTGTGCAGAGAAGGAATTGGAATTGCGGTTTGTGTTTGTGAAATAGAGAGGATGGTATTGTGGTGCCGCGATTTAAGGAAAGGATTGCGTATAAGAATTGGTTGCGTATCGAATTGGTAATAGCTGCGGTGATTGGATTTGCGGTCAGAAGTCTTGTTTGGTTTGCATGGAAATGTAAGGGCATTTTAGTCTTTTCACTTTGCTCCCTAACCTCAACTTAATTTCTCAATTCCAACTTAATTCTAAAAATTATCCCCAAGTGTGATTTGAACGCCTAATTATAACCTAATATACCTAAACCATTTCTATCGAATAATTATCGATTAAACTTGGATATTAACGTTCCTAGTAATTCTTATATTACTTAGCGATTAAATTAGTTATTAGAATTTCCAATTATTATTTCTCACGAAATAGAGTTAGTCTAACTCGAAATGTGTGTATATGGAGCTCCTGGGGTCATTAAATTTCTCATTGTTTTGCTAACTATTATCACATATAACAATACACTAATCAAAATGCTATCTTATTGTTTATGTATAGTGCATTATTACATATAACTATTGTTCAAATTTTCTCTACATATTAACCAGTCGATGTGTATCACATATAATCACATAGTAGACTTTAATGGCATTTTCGAAATGTGTAACTCGAAAATGATCAAGTCTACCATATACATTAACTCGAAATGTGTCGTTCCATTTTCATATAAAAGAAAATGGAATTGAAGTACTCTGAGCTTATAGCTGTGATTAATTAGCTAATTACAAGATGTTTAAGAGATTGCATGTGATGATTAAGCACTCGGATGATGCAATCAAGGCATGAGAAAATCTGATTCTGGGAGAAAATGTTTCTGCCGAGAGTGGATTAGAAATTGCAGCTTTATTTTTGTTCCCCTGTGACAATCTGAGCTTAATGCTGTGTTTAACCAATCATAAACAAGAAGATTAAGCGAATTAGGGGCATGCATGTATTGTTTATGCAGTCGGTTGATGAAATCAAAACTCTAGAAAAATCTGTTTTGCAGACAAATGATGTTGCCGAGAACTTGTTCTGATTAATGCAGCTTAATTCGGTTTAATTAATCACAGCTATAAGCTCAGAGTACTTCAATTCCATTTTCTTTTATATGAAAATGGAACGACACATTTCGAGTTAATGTATATGGTAGACTTGATCATTTTCGAGTTACACATTTCGAAAATGCCATTAAAGTCTACTATGTGATTATATGTGATACACATCGACTGGTTAATATGTAGAGAAAATTTGAACAATAGTTATATGTAATAATGCACTATACATAAACAATAAGATAGCATTTTGATTAGTGTATTGTTATATGTGATAATAGTTAGCAAAACAATGAGAAATTTAATGACCCCAGGAGCTCCATATACACACATTTCGAGTTAGACTAACTCTATTTCGTGAGAAATAATAATTGGAAATTCTAATAACTAATTTAATCGCTAAGTAATATAAGAATTATTAGGAACGTTAATATCCAAGTTTAATCGATAATTATTCGATAGAAATGGTTTAGGTATATTAGGTTATAATTAGGCGTTCAAATCACACTTGGGGATAATTTTTAGAATTAAGTTGGAATTGAGAAATTAAGTTGAGGTTAGGGAGCAAAGTGAAAAGACTAAAATGTCCTTACATTTCCATGCAAACCAAACAATACTTCTGACCGCAAATCCAATCACCGCAGCTATTACCAATTCGATACGCAACCAATTCTTATACGCAATCCTTTCCTTAAACCGCGGCACCACAATACCATCCTCTCTATTTCACAAACACAAACCGCAATTCCAATTCCTTCTCTGCACAAGCAAACCGCAAACCACTTCCTTTCTTGATACCGAGACACCACCCTTCACCAAACCTCATTTCCTTCTCTGCACAAACTCACCGAAAACCATTTCCTCTCCATTTTTACCTCAGCCCCAAACCACAACAACATTCCTCACCTTGTAATCATCGACCGAGGGGAAGGAGAGAGAGCGGCATTCTGCATATGAGAGCAAGGAAAGAAAACTGCGAGCTGCCACATTTTCGGTTCTGTCTGCGAGCTTGAGGGAAGAAAGAAAGAGACACCGCGTGAGTTCAATCCTTTTCTGCACCTTCACCTCCACCAGCTGTGACCATTTTCTTCACCTCAACCAGCTGCACCCGTTTCCAGCAACTCCACCGCAACTGCAACATCCAACCAGGACCACCTCCAGTTCGCGTGTGAGCAAGAGAGGGAGAGCTAGTGAGCTGCGGTGCTGCAACAACCAAACCCCAAGAGCGATAGCAAGCTGAGAGGAAAATTTCTGCAGCTCATTGTCGTGTGAGCTAAGCCTCAAACCGAGGTAACCTCTGGCCCTAGACTAGCTAATATTAGGTAGATGATGCTGATTAAAAGCTTGCATGTAACGGTTAGCCACTTGGATGATGGGTTAAGGCACCAGAAATTCTGATTATGAAAAGAAAATGGAATTGCCGTGAGCTTGAATCAGAAATGCAGACTTGATCATTGCTTATAGCTAATATGAGCTATATTAGTGTTTTGCTAACGACTTTAATGGTATGATTAGTAGACTTTTAAGAATTGAGAAATAATGGAGCTAATGCACTATACATAAACAATGAGATTGCATTTTGATTAGTGTATTGTTATATGTGATAATAGTTATATGTGATTGTAAAGTCTACTATACACTAATCAATTAAAGTCTACATATTTGATGCTGTGGGTTATTAATAGGAAAATGATAATCTTAATTCCTTTAATCGTTATTGATGCTGTGGCGACTCCACTTCCCCCTAAGGCGAACCAAAGGGTTGGCGGGCCGTCCCATGCATGAATCACCTACATTTGAGATTCCTACCCAACATACATATCTAATATCCCCAACCATAGACTTTTTGTTCCACACCTAACAAGCCAATCCCCACAGTCCGAGAACCTTTTCCCGGTTTGAGCTCGATAAGAGCTCTGACACCAACTGTGATGCCCCCCACTTTTCCCCAGGGCGAACCCAAGGGTATCCGCGGGACGCCTGCCCAGCTTTCGCCAGGACTCAAGACAAATCAAATCGAACTTAACGATACATACCAAATACTACGAGTCAAAATAAAGAAAAGTCGCTTTCTTAACTAAATATTTAAATCTTACATCATGTCCACAAAAGATACATCAAGTTCCAAAATGCAACCATTAAAAGTCGACTACACATTTAATACATATGTAATGGAGAAAATGCCATTAAAGTCTACTATACACAAATCAATTATATAATAATTGATTCCAATTATTATATGGAGATTGCAACGAGTTAGCTACACTTGATCATTGTTGAAGCTATATTAGTCATTGGAGGTATGATTCTTTCTTTTATTTGTCTATCTAAGGTTCTCAGTGACCTAGTACCGTACACACTTTTTGCAAAACCCTAGATTCATAAGATAGAATCAAAGTTTGACTACTAATTGGGTAAATAGAAATTGTGATATATGGATCGGAGGGTGTAAGTTAGTGATTAATTTGAAAGGCATGACTCTTAAGGGGTATGACTATTATCCAAAGTGTGAATTTCGAGGACGAAATTCTTTTAAGGAGGGGAGGATGTGAGGACCCGAAATTTTTTATTTTTTATTTTATCGAATATTAGTAGTTTGTTTAAATATTTATTTACTCATTTTTCTCCAAATTATTTATTTCGATCATTTAAAATCCATTTATATGGAACGACGCCTCTTTTATATTTTTAAAAGCGTTTTGTTGAAAAAATTCACTTTTCGAAAACTCGTTTAGTTCGGAACAACGAGTGCACGTTTTTCGAGACTATATTTGAATCGAGAGTGTATTAATATTGGAGAATTAAGAACGATCAATAATAGATTAAGAAAGGTTAATTGAGGAATTAATACTCAATTCACGTGAGTACTCGTAAAATTATTATTTTTAAACCCCTAATTTTGGCTCAATTAATTATCTATTTGGATTTTTGCCCCGAATATTATTTTCTATCCTTATTAGACCTAAATATATGGTTTTATAGTTTCGTTATATTTTTAAAGTGTCTCGTTTCAAAAATTATTTTCTTAGAAGCTTGTTTAGTGAAAAAGTGAAAACGTGTCTGAAAACTTTAGCCAATTAGGAGTACAATAAGCTCAGAAATTTGGAGACATGTACAATGGTTCTAAAATAGGTAAATTTAGATTTAAGTACTCAAGTGATAGTTGGTGGTACGATCGTTATAAGAATTTCTCGAAAGTTTCATTTTATTGCGCCTAAATTGGGAATACGTGTTTTCACGTTTGGACCATTATTTTGGGACAATTAAGAATGAATAATATTTATATGAATGTAAGTGCCCTAGAGGTTTAGTGCACTAGTGTAACAAACGTAAGAGAAATCGAACATGAAACGTGCGCGTAGGGCACTAGTTGTAATTGATTTGACGTATTTAAAATATTAGACGTCAAGCGTCTTTTGTACGCAAAGGAAACCAGAACCGCATCTCATTTCTTCTAGCTGCAATGGACGGATAGCTTCAGCCGTAACAGCTTCACCATTCCTTCTACAAATTCACCAAATCACTACCAAAGCCTCCATAGATTCAACCAAAACTTCACATACACTTAACTCTACACTTGGACAACACCTTAAGCTGAAAAAGGGAGGAGCTTCACGGTTTTCTTCAGGCTTCAAAGGGACCGAAATTTTCTGATTTGAACAACCATCAAAGTAGGTAATGATCAACTACCTTAAACTTGTCTTATGGAGGTTGATTTATGCATTTGAGCTGAAATCTTCACTTTAGTAGCTTGTATTGTTGGAAAAAAAGTGGGCTCTATGAATTCCCACTCTTGGGTTGTTGCTGATTTTGTGCTTGATGAAGTTTATGATATCGGATCAGTGTTTAAGTTAGTGATTTGTTGAAGGAAAACTGCTGGAAACTCACGTTGAGTGCAATGGCCAAGTTTGACCATTTTGCCCCTGGTTGTTCGGCCACTTTACTGCAGATATTTGAGGATTTAATGGCTTGATTGTGTTGTTTACATGTTGTAGAAGTTGTGTACAAAATTTCGTTGAAAAATATTGAGTTTTGGTTGATCAAAAGAATTTATTTTCCAAAGTTAGTAATCTGGAAACGGTTGCCGTCGTAACCAGACAAGTGTTCGTGTTTCGTCCATAACTCCGTACTCCGATGTCGAAATCGAGTACCGTTAGCGGCATTTGAAACTAGACGT